ATGGAGAGTGCGCCCTGCTTCGGCCTCTGCTTGAGCCTGCTGGGCTGGGGCCCAGTAGCTTCGCGTTGGGCCAAAGTGTCTGCACCCAGGCCCACACAGATAGTTGCCTGGGGGCGCAGCTTCGGGACGCGCCCAACCACCCCATGAAGCCTGTGAGGTGTTTGCTGCATTCTCATTGGCTTGCCGCCAATGTGTGATGTCCCAGCTGCATTCTCAGTGGACCACGGCCGAGGGGTGATATGTCGGTCTCTGAATGCGTGTGCCCAGGGCCTCAACCAACTGAGCCCTGTGCTCAACTGTACGACGCAGCAGCTGCTTCTGGAAAGAGCCTGAAAGGCTCACGTTGCCCTGTAACCAACTGGCGTGCTGCAACTGTCTGATAAACCCTCGCACAAAAAACGACAAAAGCAGGCCTCCCACGAAGATGCAGGCCCACTTTCAAATAGGGCGGGAATGAGGCTTGCTGGGGGCCAAGCCCAGTACGTGTGTATGCCCGACAAGGGCCTTTTGAGGGCTCAAACCTCGCACAATGCACAAAGACCTGCAAAAGGAGCGACCAAGTGTTACATACCTTAAAACCCAACAAAGAACGGCTGCAAAAAGCTTAAACCACATAATGAGGAATGCAAGCGTCAAGCACTACAACCTAAGAACGATGCGGGAACTGAAAGACTGAATCTCCAAAACAAGACCGGATCGCCGAAACGAACGAGCTATGCAGAAAAATAATAAATGAGGAAGGAATAAACATTCCGAGAACACATGACATAAAGAAGATGTTTTCTAAACTACCGGACGTAAAAGTCACAAAAGCACCGAACTGGCTCACACAAGTTTAGGACAAATGGTATAGTCTATACTATGGAGTTGATCAGTCTCAAAATACGTGGGCAGTAATCCAGGTTCAGAAGAGCTCATCGTGAAATGGTGACATGGTGCAGCAATCTGTGAGACTGCCCTAACGTTCTATTATTTCAGTTGAAAAATACTACGGTTTGATCAGGCCCAGGCACTAGTCCCTTCGGACGTCCAGCCAGACCACTGCCCAGATTGATCCAGAGGTCCGGGTGACCGGACAGGAGCCAAACATCCCAGACATTCCAGACCTTGACTGCCTGGACGACTGCCTGGGTATCTATATGCGTCCAGAAATGAGCTACAAACGGAAAAGCGGAACTGAAATGGGGTTGCAAAACACTAAGCGCATGGAAGATCTTGTGCTCTTGGTGTCGTGCTTATCAGTGGATATGTAAGGCGCAGATCCAACAATCACCAAAGTGAAGAGAAACAACAAATACAATCCAGCGGAGGTCTGGAAACGATCAATAGGACTCATGTAACTTGGAACTCAGACAATGTACTCGTCATCACCCGGAACGGCAATGAGGGTAGCATACATGGAAGGTCCCTCCTTGCACATACACACAGATGGGGAGATAATCATTGATGATGAGGGGAGAAAAGGAGGACGGATGTGGGAGAAGAAACAAGAGAGACAGCCCGAATACAATGGCCAAAATGGTAACAACACTCAATCGCCTCAAATACAATGTTGAGTCTGAGCCTTGGAGAAGACTCACTGAAATACTCACCAAGTCTCTGCTCTCTCTCTCTCTCTCTCTCTCTCTCTCTCTCTCTCTCTCTCTCTCTCTCTCTCTCTCTCTCTCTCTCAAGTCCGAAAGGAGATGGTGGATATGGAGGGGAGGAGGAAAAGAATCTCTCTCTCTCTCTCTCTCTCTCTCTCTCTCTCTCTCTCTCTCTCTCTCTCTCTCTCTCTC